ACGATGAGAAAGAAGGGGATCTTTTTCGTAAATGACCAACCTCTGCGGTTTCATAGGTCTCCTGTTCAAAAGTTTTAAACCGTGGACGAAGTAGTTTCATTTCACCATAAAAAAGGTGAAGTAAGTTCAGATAAAGTACCCAACCACGACTGGCACTGGGAAGCTACAGCAGGTCTAGGTTGTAGCATTGCCGGAGTAGCATGGTGATAATACAGCGAATCTTCCACGGGTCGGTTGGGTACTTGGTTTCAGCAAACGTCTGCCAGAACGACGCACAGTTAATAACTTTCTTCTCCTGCTGCAGCTTCTGTCATCACTCACACTTCTCCTTCTAACAGAGGGGCTGAACTTCGAGTGTAACTTCCTTGAAGTGGATGAATGGCAACGAGTTCGTTTAATATTTAAATTTATGTTCTCAATATTTTCCATTTTTCATCTGCGAGAACTTGAAACTGTAAACAAATAAATCTCAAAAGTTATAACTACAGGGATGCCAAACTCATGGGATACTGAGATTGATACCTTGATTGCCATACTTCGGCACGTTTGGTACAATGCAAGACCCAGCTTTTGGCACAGATAAAGAACTCGGCACAGATAGAGATGTGCAGCGTTGAAAACTCTTGAGGTGGACTATTTTATTATTTTCATGACAATCTATAAATAGAAAATCACTCATCAAATAAAATTCTCAAAAATTGTGTCGAAAAATTCAGTTTAAAAAAGTAGTAAAGACTGGAATGCACAAACATTGGTCGACAAAAAAATCGTTTTTTTCAGTCAAAATTCATATCACAAAAATCTTCTTATTTTTTTTTGAACTACATATTTTGAAAGGAAAAAATGGTAATTTATTTTTTTGGTTTGCCAAATCCGAGCTGCCGTGCCTTCCGCTTAACCCCTCCATTAAATTTTGCACAGTGATCTCATCGACCTTATTCGCCGCCGAACGCCAGTTAGATTTAAACTGCTGCTCGTTTTCCATGGATTTATTAGTTAAAGGGTGATACGGTCAAAATTTGGTCAATACCAACTTGACGTATTTCTTTCAATTTTGCATTTAAAAAACCTGAACACCCCTCATTTTGAAGGTGTGTGTGTGTAGAATGTTGCTCCTATTTTGATTTTGGAATTCACTCTTCAGTTGTCAAAATGCCGTCCAAGCAAGAAGAGCAGCGTATCAAAATTTTGCTCGTGCATCGCGAAAATCCGAGCTACTCGCACGCAAAGTTGGCAAAATCGCTAAAAGTTGCCAAATCAACCGTTACAAATGTAATTAAAGTGTTTGGGGAACGTTTGTCGACAGCCAGGAAGTCTGGATCGGGGGGAAATCGAAAACCGGAAGCCGCTGAGACGACAAAGAGAGTTGCCGGTAGTTTCAAGCGAAACCCTAACCTCTCTCTCCGAGATGCCGCAAATAAGCTGGGTGTATCGTCTACAACCGTGCATCGAGCCAAAAAACGAGCCGGACTATCGACTTACAAGAAGGTAGTGACTCCAAATCGCGATGATAAACAAAATACGACGGCCAAAGCGCGATCCTGGAGGCTGTACACGACGATGCTGACGAAGTTTGACTGCGTGGTAATGGACGACGAAACCTACGTCAAAGCCGACTACAAGCAGCTTCTGGGACAGGAGTTTTATACGGCAAAAGGAAGGGGAAAGGTAGCAGATGTTTTCAAGCACATGAAACTGTCAAAGTTCTCAAAGAAATATCTGGTTTGGCAAGCCATCTGTACCTGTGGCTTGAAAAGCAGCATTTTCATAGCTTCCGGGACTGTCAACCAAGAAATTTACGTGAAAGAGTGTTTGAATAAACGTCTGCTGCCTTTCCTGAAGAAACACGGTTGTTCCGTACTGTTTTGGCCGGATTTGGCATCTTGCCATTACGGTAAAAAGGCCATGGAGTGGTACGCCGCCAACAACGTGCAGGTGGTTCCCAAGGACAAGAACCCTCCCAACACGCCAGAGCTCCGCCCAATTGAGAAATACTGGGCTATTGTCAAGCGGAACCTAAAGAAGACCAAAAAAACTGCTAAGGGCGAGCAGCAGTTCAAGGCAAACTGGCTTTCTGCGGCGAAGAAGGTGGACAAGGTGGCTGTACAAAATCTGATGGCAGGGGTCAAGCGTAAGGCCCGGCAATTCGGATTTGGAAAAGCGGAAGCCTAACTGAATATTTTTCCTGAATTTTATACTAATTGAACTTGAAAAAGAAATTTAATTTGATTTTTTATATAAACGATTTCACCGATTTACACGCGTTTTCCCTTGACCAAATTTTGACCGTATCACCCTTTATGCTGAGATTCCGTTTGACCAAGGCCCAAAACCGTTCGATAGAGCGGAGTTCTGGGCTGTTTTTTAGGGTTGAGGTCTTTGGGTACCACAACCACGTTGTTCGCATCGTACCACTCGATTGCCTTTTTCCCATAGTGGCAGCTCGCCAAGTCCGGCCAGAACAGCACAGGTCTATTATGTTGCTTTAGGAATGGTAGCAGCCGCTTTTCCAGGCACTCCTGGACGTAGATCTTTTGATTGATGGTTCCCGTTGTAATGAAAATGCCGTTTTTTTTTACCACACGTGCATATGGCCTGCTAGACGAGATATTTTTTTTCCGGAACTTCGATAGTTTGATGGTTTTGAAAATTTCAGCCACATTCCCTTTTCCTGATGCGGTATAAAACTCCTGTCCCGGAAGCTGCTTGAAAGCCGCCTTCACATAAGTTTCGTCGTCCATGACGACTTAGTCGAACTTTGTGAGCAGATTCGTATAAAGCTTTCGGGACCGCTGCTTTGCCGACGTGTTTTGTTTGTAATCTCGGTTCGCCACTTTCACCTTCTTAATCGTCGACAACCCGGCTCGTTTCTTGGCCCGCTGCACAGTAGTATGGAAGACATTGAGCTTGCCAGCGACGTCCCGGACGGAGAGGTTATGATTCCGCTTATATTTCACCGCCATCTTCTTCGTCGTCGCTGCCACGTCCGGATTACGATTAATGCCGCTTTCAGGCTTCCTGGCGGTCAACAGCTTGAACACTTTTAAAACGTTTTTCTTGGTCGATTTGGTCACATCCAGACGTCATTTTCAAAACTGGAGAGCAAACGGTGAAAACTCATCATAGCAAACATTGTATATACACTCAACTTCCAAATGCAGCATTTCAAGATTTTTTATGCTTTTTTAACAGAAATACACCAATTTTAAGATGACCAATTTTTGCGCGTTCCAGACTTTATTTAGTATATACCCTAATGAAAATTTTCTATCAAGCTTGGTTAGAAATATGATCTTGATAGAAGAAGATTTTTTGAATCATTTTTTGTTATTTTATCCATATCCGGAATCTGAATTCTACAGGGTGATTCGGAATAACTGTACCTTTTAAAAATGATCGTAACGATCGAACTCTGGCATGATTTTTTGACATCAGTATATTCCAGATATACTACATATATAACCTTCAACTTAGCATACTTTAATTCATTCTCTCTCCCTTCACTTTTAATTACCAGCCACATTTGTCACGAACATAAACTACAGCTGGCATGCACGTTTTAGTTCCATCACATTTTGGAGTCCTGGTGATGCATCTAAGCTCTGATATTGATCGGATTTTCCACGCATGGTTCCTTTTCACCTCTATAATGATGCGAAAAATAAATGTTTCATTCTTTCGATGAGATTTCAGTTTCTAAAAGATAACACACGAATTTATGCAGATTTATGGCATGCTCAATTTGTACACACTACGATTATTTTACCGAAATCTGTGAAATTTTACCGAAATCTCAACAGCTGAACGCTCGGTAAACAGTTTGGTGATTTTTCACAGATTTCCTGTGATTTTTCAAAGATATTCATTGAAAAATCACAGGAAATCTGTGAAAAAATCACCGATCTGTTTACCTAACATTCAGCTGTTGAGATTTCGGTAAAATTTCACAGATTTCGGTAAAATAATCTTAGTGTGTATGTACATGACTGTTTGAAATCGAAAACGAATGAAATTTCAAATCCTTCTTTAAATAAAAGCTGATATTTGTACACATTTTAAACCAAAAATACTTGAACATAGAGAATTGCATATACCCATTGTGAAATCGGTGACGGTTATTCTGAATCACCCTGTAAATACGGTTGTTACATAAATCGGTTGCCGAAATAATAACAAGCTACAATATTCTTGTTATTTCCATCTGAACGGGTGTGTATCGCTTTAGCACATTTTAATTTTGATCACTACTGGTTGCACGTAGTAGTTTACTTCAAGCACTGCTTGCCTTTCTTTAACAATGATTGATTTAAGCCGCAACAATTTCTACATTGGTTTACGTAATACTTGGCTTGGCTTGGCAATCAACTAATAATTCCGCTGAACTGACTTAACATTTTGATTCGTATGAACTTCGCATCTTAACCACCTTAAGCTGCTGGACCTTCCCGAGTAACCGTCAAGCCCACTAATGCAAAAAGCATAATATAATGCTGATTTAAACATTTAAATACGTAAATCAGCCGTATATTGCAAAGACAGCCCTTATCGGGATATTTACCGGGCTTGGTGGCTACTTGGGTTAAGAACTTTCTACATGAGCTTAGAAGCCTTGGTCGGTTTCAACATTCTTTAAAGCATGCTGGTTTGTGAACTATCTGTAGTTTTTAGATAATGCAATGATGAAAAATAATAGATTAAATGATCGATTTTGGCATACAAAAATCCATGAAAACAAAGTATTGATAACTCTAATCATATCATTTAAAAATTTATCACGGTCAAAGTCTAAATTTCATTATCTCAAAAATTTTTTTTGAATGATAAAAAACGATCCCATCTGGTTTTTACTAACAAACAGTCTACAATTTTTCATCATTCAATTTTACCTATCGCAAAGTACACTCTGCCATTTGCTAACCCAAGCTTCTGTCAATGCTTTGAACCGCCAAGATAAAATTCACTAATTCATTTCCCATCCTCCTTCGGCTACCACCTCGCAGGTTCGGGATTCCGTTGGGCGAAGCGGAAATGTCGTTATCAAGCTCCAGCACGCGTACGACGACCACCACAGTGACGTCCTCGTTCAACGGTTCCAAAATGGACAGACCATTGGTACATCGAGTAAGTCTGGATCAGCATACGGCACCTCCGACTCCAACTCCAACGGTGCTGGACACCTCGGAAAAGCGCTTGAAGCTCAACAAGTTCGGTTGAACGTGGAAACGCAGCTGCTGCTGGTACCGAGGTCGGTCAGCGTCGATCGTACCACCGAAGAGAGTGAGCTGGCGAATTGAATTGTGTGGATGGTACATATTTGGAACGATGTTGGAAGATAACCAAAGATATGAGAAGTGTTAAGGTCTACTAGTACAAAGCATTTAGCGCAGCTAGTTTTAACTGAACCGGTTAGATGGGACGTATTCTATAAGATACGGTAGCTTCCTAAATTTAAGTACGATGGAAAATATTTTCTGAGAAAGCATTTTAGATACAGCAAGGTTGTACATATTTTTTTTCGAATCATTGTAAGGACCTTCTGACCGTCAATACCAATAAGGTATTGTCAATCCTTTTCCGTGCTGGTTTTTTAATATACGTCGTTGTAGATTGTGCATTTTACAGTTAGAGCAGATATATTAAAAATAATGCTAGTTACCGAAGTAATTATTCTACGTCCTGTTTGTGAAACACGTATTGCAATTAGCCTTAAATAAATGTGCATTTCATCTTCGCTTGAGGTTATTTTTATTCTATATCACCATTATATTGTTTAGAATTACCAACCCATCTAAACATATTATGAACCATTGCGAGCGAAATCCACTAGAGTAAATCTTACAGGAGACGCTGAAAATACTCTAATAATAAACTATATACATACAATTTTCTCACCTAAATTTCATAAATGTGTTGCAGAGGAGTTGAATAAATGTGATCATACAAATAATAACGAAATGTTTAGGTGCGTGAAAGAGCTCGGCACGGTCGGTGTTGATGTTGGATCGCTTGCAACTATTATTGCGAAAAAATAAGTGTTTTTGACCGAAATTGATACCGAAAGTGATGATATGATGTTAGTGGTTTACCACCCATTGTAGCACGGAAAATAAATGCGACAGCAGTGGGCTCTCTCGTCTGTTTGTCTTGATCAAGCTTAATAACCTCTGATTGTCCTCAACATGTCACTGTATGAAGGGCCAAAAACGGATTGGGTAGATCGATATGCAAAGTCGCCTATACGCATCTACGGAACAACAAAGTATCTCCTTCCAGCAACTTGATCAGCCAATTGGTCAAAAAGACAAGCCCCCAAACAGGAAGATGCCCCAATGAGTGGGGAGAAGAGCCCGCCCTTTATTCACGAAATGTTATCGACCGGGAGTTGGCATTCCCACTCTCCCCGTCCAAATCGCTTCAATCGGGCTGTTGGACCGTTCCTTCCCTTTCATATATGTATTTCAATGTACATACGAGTCAATTGTTATGATTATTGTCAATAATACCTACGTTTAGATGAAGATCGTGCTACTTATTTTACCTTTTGTGTGATACTTATCATCACATAAACCAATCTTGAATCGTAGACCAGGTCCATCAACAATACACTCCTTCCGAGACGGGGCTTTGTGATAAAGCCATCTTCTTCTTCATCATGTTCACTCACCACCCGGAATGCATAAAAAACGAAAAAGAAATACAACCAGGATTAGTTTTGTTTTTATTTTTTTATAAGTATAAGGAATAGTTTTATCCGAATACCCAAGTTACCATATTCTGCATCAGTGAAATTGTCTCACTACAAATACCAACTTGATTATCCGCTAGGAAACACCAAAGAATATAGAGAGATTAATCTCAAAAACACAGTTTTAACTGATAGTACTTTATAAACATCAAACTGTCCAATATTGGACTCTGCCAACACACGGCACCTGCACGGTAATGTGGGCCGTCAGAATGGTTCATCGGTTGCGAGTTGCAATATTTCCCAAATTGAAGCTATACATCTCTCATTGTTTCAACTTTATCCTAACGTAATATTATTACCCATATGCCCGTCTTAGCCCTAACCCCATCCCCCACACCAAATCAAATAATAAGGTTTCTGTATATCAAACCCACCCGAGCAAAGTTCAGCATCAGAATGACAGCAAATTTAAATCAAGTTTTGATATCAACATCAAACTGAAATCATAATTTGATTTCAGTTTACGCAATTGACAAATTTGATACCAAATTTTGATTTCATTTTGCTGTACATTTGCTCTTCAAAAATATGTTGTTACGGGTTTGTTTTCATTGCCTTAGCATAACATCAAATTGAATACTTGTTTTGTTATCAACAGGAAAAAAATGATATCAAATTGAGTTTTCAGTTTGCTCTCACTGATAGCAGAAATAGTTTTCAAAGTGATGTCACAGGAAGATTTTTTTGCTCTCAATTTTGATATTTTAACCGTTAAAACGACCAAAACGACAGTAACCTGAGCAATTATTATCAGTGAAATCACAACAACAAATTTAGATTTCAATTTGATCTCAGACTTTGCTCGGGCAGCCGTAACGAGAATATGGTTATAGGGTATACGTCCCTAACCTCGGTCTAATATGCAGCCATCGATTACGTTTTTAATCATAACTCATCAATGAATTTACCTGCAAACGATATTCTACTGCTAAATGGTATGCTTAGATATGCTTATTATGTCGTTTGCTACCAGAAACCACGAAAAGTTGAAAAACTTACTTTTTTTGAGACAATAACTCACCAGGGAAATGTATGTAATATGGGTCTATTGTCCCCAAATTGGGTCTATTTATGGATGCAACTTCGTCCTATCTTGTTTGATCCTCAAAAAAACGCTCTTGGTAACGTTTTCTGATGTATTTTTTTTTATCACTATCACTGTTAACTTAATGCTCTTCATTCCTCAAAACATTTCTTAGAGAAAATTTTACGAAAACTACATTAAATCACTCAATTTAAAAATTAAAAATTAAAAATTTCGCTTATCGTCTTTTGACCGCAGAATATCTAAATCAGAACATTGTGATGTTCATTATACAGGTTTGGCAGAAAAAATCTCCCTTCCTGTTCGTTCCTTATCATCCAAATGCAAAACAACATTGTTGACGTTACTCTTATTGCTATATGCTGTCAAATGAATTTCATGGGCCATAGTTAGGAACATAGAAAAGAAATGTGTCCCTAAAGTTGGGTCCATGTTTTACTTGTGAAAACGTTGTTAAACAATTAAAATAAACATAAAATATTCAAACAGCAACTGTAAGTTTTACGTCTAGTGTGTATTATCAGGTAATTCCAATCAATAAATGCCATAATCAGGCCATTTGATGATCGTCAGTCAACCTTCCCATCTTAACCTTATAAGTCATGGCGGCTAAAAACTCCGAACATTGTGATATTCTCAACCAGTTTTATTACTTACGAGAGCTGAAAATGTATTGAAATGTTGTGATATAAATTGATTTGTGTGTGGTACACATTTATCAACCATCAGTGATCAATATTTTCCTTATTTTTTGTGTAATATTCCTTAATTAATTATTTATTTGCGTGATAGGCCGAATGAAAGGACTAGACCCACATTACATACCGTAACCCTACATCTTTACTATCACAACGTCGGATAATCATTGAAAGTACTTGCATTTCACTCAGGCACCTCTGGGCAACCTGCAATCACCCTCTCATAATCGAAATGTGCATCGACCAACCTGGCACAACTACGCCATATACGCTCTCTGGTCCAAGCGCAGGGACTTTCACAATTCTCTTTTCTCACCCATAGCATATCTAGATTGAGCTGGAATTAGGGCGTAACAGCTTTTGTAAACAATCACTTATCTCGATGATTTCTCGAAATTCATGGCTGTCCCCGGCAAATCGACATAACCAGCGAGTAAGGGAAGACTTCCCCTACCCGATGGATATGTTGGTTTGTGTAGGTGTGCCTTGAATTCCTAGAAATTAACGAGGGAAGTCATTTTTTACAAAGGCTGTTACGCCCTAATTCCAGCTCTATCTAGATATGTCTGTAGATGAGGGGCGCGAGGTGGCCAGACCTAACGATTTATCGGTAGTCCTACTGATTTTCGGGATGCCTACCGATTCACAGACAAAAGGTTAAAAACTACCGATTTTCACTTTTGCTACCGAGAATCACAGATTTTTAGTAATCTTGAAAAATGTTCCATACCTATGTGTTGTTTTCCTTGTAGTCAGAATTAGCATTAAAATAATAACAAATATTGATTTCGACACGTTTAAAGCAGAAGAACTGAAGGACAGTCCCCTCCACTCACAAAGGTTTCAAGTATCAGGAAAGCCTTCTTCAGACGGCCTACCGATAACTACCGATAAAAGTTTTGAGAAGCTACCGATAATGAAAAAAATAATCTGGCCACCCTGAGGGGCAGACTCTTTCGCGGAACTCTCGGAAAATAAATCTGGGGAAACATGTCAGAAAGGTATAACTCGAAACGTAAACAATAACTTTGAACGTCGATTTCTCTTGAATGACCACACATCTCATCTGCTCATGGCTTACTAGTTTCCAACATCCTCCGGGCCTGCAGTAGAATTATCTTCGTTATCGGTCTAAGGTACGTTGAGCTTGAAGTGCGTATCTTCATTGTCCGAACTTTGCCATCGGTTCCATGATAAGCCTTCTCGATAATACCTTTGGGCCAGCATCCACGATGACCATCACCAAATCACCTACCGCGTACTCGTAGTAGTTTCGTTTGTCTTTCCATTTATGTCGTGTGATCAATTCTGGGCGATAAGCGGAAACCCATTTACGCCAAAAACAGTCAACGTAAATTTGTGCATGTTTGTAGGCGGCTCTAGTCACCAAACTGCTTTCATCAAAATCGTGATCGTACTGCAAATGGTTGTTTCGTCCAAGTAATAACATATTAGGCATTAACGGCTCAGGATCATGAGGATCATCTGACAAATGTGTCAATGGTCGATTGTTGACAACGTTCATTACTTCGTATAATACTGTTCGCAGAAACAAATCAGTAGGGTTTCTCTCCTTTAGCACAGCACGTAGGCCAGTTTTTACCGAACGCACTAAACGCTCCCAGCACCCTCCAAAATGAGGCGCACCTGGAGAGGTATAAAGGACCACTCTACGGCTCTCACGCTAATTGTATCGTCTATCTGCTGCTGGTCAAGCTCCTTTACCATCCTCTTCAGCTTTTGATTGGTTCCAGTAAAATACGTTCCGTTGTCAGTAAGGATTTTCTGAGGAACACCACGAATTGACATAAAACAACGTATGGCCATTATGGAGTAGCTCGTATCGGAAGGAACCACTTCTAGGTATACCGCTCGGCTTGTCATGCATGTAAAGAGTACAACCCAGCGCTTCTCTACAGAGTGTAAAATTATATTGACTGCCTAGGCTGAGTGTGAAAGCACTGCGCTATTCAATCAATTGCTGTACCTGTGTTAATATATATTCGGTAAATGCGATGTTTTTCTTCAGTCGAGTATTAGTACAAGACACGGAAGAATTCTGCACATTGTAGACGAAATACGCGTATCTGTCAAGGATAAGCAAATAAAGTAGTGGAATTAAGGCTCCACCGGAATGAGAAAATTGGTGAATTTGTAAAAAAATCATCTGGCATCAAGGGAATGTATTGCGACATGTAGTGCGATTCTCTACATGTTGCACTAACATATTTGCATATACA